TGAAATGTAAAAGCAATAAAATTCACAATGCTACTCGTAATGTCACATAACTCATTTTTTTCCCACGTGAAATGTAAAAGCAATAAAATTCACAATGCTACTTGTAATGTCACATCACTCCTTATTTTTTTCCCATCATTTTCTTTTTACAGCCATTTTGTCTTTTGAAATAATTGTTTAAAAAAAAAGCATCCAAAGAAGAAGCCAAGCGTTAATATTTCGTTGCTCGCCATTTTGTCTTTTGAAATAATTGTTTAAAAAAAAAAATAAATAAGCATCCAAAGAAGAAGCCAAGCATTAATATTTCGTTGCTCATCAAACTGTGGTTGAACAAGGCACCCTAAGGTCTTGCTGGAATCACACCCCAAATTTTTTGTGACTTTAAATGAGTATTCTTGCAAATATACAAATATCCAGTCAAATTCTGAATTATATATGATAACCTTTTATTTGTCCCACACTGGGGAAATTTGCAGTCTACAGCAGCAAATGGGGGGGAGGGGGGGAAGAAAAAAAGAAAAAAATATGAAGGTGTTTGATTGTAGAGGTTCCATTGTATTTTACGAATTTGAATGGAAATTATTAAAAGTATGAGTGAATTGATGATTGGATGACTGTATTTTTGTTCTAGTATGCTGCCAAGGAGTTCCAGCAGGCCTTAGATATTTTATCAGAGGAGGCAAGTTGTAAGAAGCTGCTAGACAGGAGTGTGAAGGAGGAGGTCGGGACACCAGAGGCAAACAAAGAGTGGGACATGTCGCCTGCCTCTGTAAGTTGTAACCTGTATATCTCTCAATCACAAATGAAATATTTACATTGTGCTCTCTACATTAAACGCCTTGTTTCATTATTGAAAAAAAAAAGCAGAAGGAAAGCCTGAGGTGCTTGCTCCCTCTGCTGGTTCCTGCCAAATAGTAAAATCCAGTATGTTAAAACTGAGTCTAGGCGTAACAACCCTTTAAAAAACGGGGTTGAGCATCCACCTGTGCACATTCTACAGCCAAGAGACAGTCAGTAGGAGGCAGAGAGTGTTGTATTGACAGTGGACTGAGGTTCGTGTTCCTCTTCCAGATCAGCAGCTCCATCTGCCTCCTACGTGGCAAGATCTATGATGCCATGGACAACCGGCCATTGGCCACTTCCAGCTACAAAGAGGCCTTGAAACTAGACGTGTACTGCTTCGAAGCCTTTGAGCTTCTCACATCGCACCACATGTTGACAGCCCAGGAAGGTAACATGGGTCTCTGGTACTTTCCACCTTATTCCAAAACATTTTAAAATAGATATGCAGCCCTCAGACAGACTCCTCCTTTTTACCACCAGGAATAAAAACAGTTTGTGGATTTCTCACACACTCACATTATAACTTTGACTGCAGATCCCATTTCAGCTTAGTTACTAACCAAAACAGCAGCACCTACCAAAGCACATAATCAGCCTCTCGGGTAAATTTGTCAAATGCTTGGTGTGAAGGAGTCCCCGGTGCAGTATTATAAAGAAGTCTGTAAAGGTGTTTCACGTTCCATTATAAGGCGACTGACCAAATTGACACTCATCATTGTTGTGTGTATCCACGTTTCTATTCTGGGGAGCTTTGTGACTTGTTTTGCCAAAGTCTGCAATGATTCTTACTGTTTCACTCCATTTAATAGTCCTTCTTATTCAGTTATAATATTTGTTGGAAATTGCCGTAATCTTGTATACTCTACCTTGTTCAACAGAGAAAGACTTCCTACACTCGCTACCGCTGAGTCAGCAGTGCACAGAGGAAGAGGAGGAGCTGCTTCATTTCCTATTTGAGAATAAATTAAAGAAGGTACAGTGGTCCCTAGCTGTTTGCAGGGGATAGGGAGTGGATTGGGCCGCAAATAGCAAAAATCCACGTGTAATAGATGGCCATTGAAATATACGCGTTGGGGGGGTATTTATGTAAAACCCCAAAAATTCTTAAAAAAGAAAAAAACACTGACAGACATTAACAATGCAATTTCAACAAAAAACAGGGAAATGGGGAACCCCCCCCCCCTTGCCCCCCCAAAAAATATATTGAAAAAACAGTCATGTGTGAACATGCAAATCCTCAAGTGCTGAACCTCGAATCTGCAGTGGTCCACTGTACATCAGCGTAATAATAGAAAACAAAAAACCAAATGTACGGAAAGACGCAGAACATGTTTGCATGTTGTTGGCCCCACCACAGAACATGTATTGGCAATACAAACACGAGGCCAGCACTTTAATACAGTTCTGAAAGAATTCTATAAGATTGTGGTAGTGTGCCTTAAGTGTCTCCATTCATCTTTGCCACAACAGTACAACAAGCCCAGTGACCTGGTGGTGCCTACCATGGTCAACAATCTGCAGGACAATTTAGATGTGGTAGTGTCCCTGGCCGAAAGGCATTATTACAACTGTGACTTCAAGATGTGCTACAAGCTAACCTCCACGTAAGTAGTCTTGCACCCAGATTGTGTGCGGTGGTGATTCGAAAGTGCCTTGAGATCACTGTCTTGCCTTTTCTGTCTTTTAGGGTGATGGTCAAAGACCCCTTCCATGCTAACTGTTTACCAGTGCACATTGGAACTCTAGTAGAGCTGGGAAAAGCAAACGGTAGCGTATACGCCTGCTTTTCAGAACTACTTGACCAACATATACTGTACATACATACAAGTTAAACGTTCTGGAAGTCAAAGAAATCTTGAGTTCAGACCACCATTGTTGTGTGTTTGCGTGAGACTCAAGTAAATCTTAAGATTTCAGTTCAGAGAGTTAATAGAAAGCCTAACTCCACAATTGATGCTCTTTTTCTAATGTCACTACAGAATGGTAATGGTGACTCGAAGAAGGAAATGCGATGATAACCATAGAGCAGGAAATGATTGTTGCTGCGACATAGAATATTCTTCCATCAAATTTCCTCATTAGAGTTGCAGGTGAGCTAGAGTGGAGGACATACAAACTATGAACAAAAAGAGTCGAAATGTGAACCCCAAACCTCACATTTGGGAGGCGCACGTGCTAACCACAAATTAATTTTACTAAACGTATACGAACATAAATACACTTATCATGCACTAATTTCAGCAATAGGTACAAAATGCCACAAAGTGACCATTTCCATCGTGAGTCTGTCGAGTGTCTTGGAGGGGTTAGGAGACTTAATTTAAATTTTATTATACATGTGTTTTTGCTTGGATAAAAGTTGTAATTGTTGCCTTGAAATTTGAAGGTTCTCATGAAATTGGCACTCAAACGGAGTGTCACCTAGGAGATGGCATTCTACTTTGGAGTTTCTACTGTATTGACCTATTGATTAGAGTGTTTCCATGTTTATGCATGTCTGTGTGTATTTGTCCTACAGAGTTATTTTATCTATCGCACAAACTTGTGGACTTGTATCCCAACAACCCAGTAAGTGTCACTTCATCCACACCTTTTTCATTTGCCCCAACGACCTAAAAAATGAAAACACACACATTTCCAGGTATCCTGGTTCGCCGTTGGCTGCTACTATCTCATGGTTGGCCATAAAAATGAAAACGCCCGTCGCTACCTCAGGTATTTATGTTACCAGTCTGCAAGAACTACCATGTTTAGGAGTAAGGTGTTTGCCAAGCTAATGTTTTACCTGTCCCTTAGCAAAGCCACCACTCTGGAGAGGACGTATGGTCCGGCCTGGATTGCCTACGGTCATTCCTTTGCCATGGAGAGTGAGCATGACCAGGCCATGGCTGCCTACTTCACAGCCGCACAGCTGATGAAAGGGTACTCTCACAACTCAAAATATAATTTTCTTTGCATTTGCAAAACTAGTGCCCCAAATAGCAGGTGGTGCGATGAGGGTGGTTGTACTCACATTTGTTATGACTGACATCTCTTTTGCTGTCGATGTCTTTACACTGCCTGCAGGCCAGACATGTCATCTGTAAAGCTGACGTTTAGTCTACCCAGCTCAATTTGGAGGGTGTCAATTCTTGTGATTTCTTTTTAGTACACTTGGAAACATTAACCTCCCCAAAAGTCCTGTTCTCATTATGGGCTGTTGCGTGTAAAATTTGGAAAAAGGTATATGTGTTCAATTATGGAATAAGGTTTTAACATAAGAAAATATGAAAAATGGAAAGTGCTTGTGGGTGTGAACAATTTCTAGATGCACAATACAATACTGTAATATAATTTCAAAATTGCAGATTGTGGAAAATGAATAGAAAAATATTGTTTGCTATTATTATGAAAAGATAGTCATTAAAGAGATTCATTTCATGGTTAATTGTTTTCTACTCTCACTATTCATGATGTGTCTTCTATTTCATTTCCAAAAATGCCTCACAGTGAGTGTAATAGTGCCTGTTGCTTTTGGCACTCACCATCTTATAAATAATGCGTCAGTCAAAACTTGGCATTATTGTTTTGGGCAATACATTTTTGATACATCCTCTTACTCCTATGTTCATTTATACCACATCTTCCTTTTCCAGGTGTCATTTGCCAATGCTGTACATCGGTCTGGAGTACGGCCTGACCAACAATTCCAAGCTGGCCGAGCGTTTCTTCAGTCAAGCGTTGAGCATCGCCCCGGAGGACCCATTTGTCATTCACGAGGTGGCCGTGGTTGCTTTTCAGAATGGAGAGTGAGTCAAACACAAGCTTAAGACATTAATTGTATTTAATGGCCATTTCAATAATTCAGCAAGGCATTCACTATGAGTGTGAAGTTGTGTAAATTCTTTTCCATATCTGCCTTTCAGCTGGAAGATGTCTGAGAGGTATTTCCTGGACGCCATGGAGAAGATTAAAGCCATTGGGAACGAGGTAGCTGCCTTAACAATGGGAAACGGAAAATACTTTTTAATATAACTTTTTTTTCCAATTCTTTTGGAATTGTTTTCATTTTAGGTATTTAAAATTATATCAATTATTGTTTGTACTCATTCCTTCCTTCATCTATTCTTGGTGCATTAATTTAAAAGGTGTATTATTTTTTTAAAAACATTTTAGAATTTTTATTTGGAATTACTTTTAAGTGACTTAAGTTTCATATCGAAAGGAAAAGAAGAAGTTTCATATGCATTTTTGTAATTATTTACAATTAATTCTTTCATTTTTGTATTATTAAAATGATAGATATTTTGTTTACTTAAGCTGTGTTTTTATTGAACACTGTTTTTAGGAAAGAGAAATGTATTTGATTTAATCTCAAATTCATGTTATTTTAGTTAGAAGTATTTCATTTTATTTAAAATGATTATTTTTGTATTTATGTCATTGTTACTGTGACTCATTTTCATTCAAGGTCACTGTAGACAAGTGGGAGCCTTTATTAAACAACCTGGGTCACGTGTGTCGCAAACTCAAGTGGGTAGCATGACATTGTTCATGTTAAATTTGCCCTTGAATGTTGGTTTAATAAAGCTCTGACATGCATTTGTGCAGGAAGTACGACCAGGCTCTGGAGTACCACCGTCAGGCGCTGGTGCTAATCCCCCAGCACGCCTCCACCTACGCCGCTATCGGATATGTCCACAGCCTCATGGGAGACTTTGAGAGTGCTATCGACTACTTCCATACAGTAAAACATTTTTCACATCAAATTAGTTCACCGGCCACGACAGTGGGTACATTTTAGGCCCGAGAGATTAATCGATTTCAGAGTTTCATGCAATGCCCATCATATTACTTACTTAACTTGAACTCTTATTTATGAGAGTAATTATGCTGTATAGCATTTCAATGTGTACCATTATCATTAGCAGTACTAATCCCTTCTACCACTGAGGCGTGAACAATTGCGACTGTTGGCCAAGGTAGAAAAATGTGCATCCATGTCAGGGTTCGTTCAAGATTACAAATGTTCGTGAAAGGTTCGCCAGATGTTCGCCAACAGTTTTTCTTGTCAACATTTTCTTGTCGCCAGGGAATTTTGAATGTTCATAAGTTTATTGTACCGTTTGTCATCCAGTGGAAGTGCGGTTCATTTTCCTCCCTGTCACTATATGCCGCTGGCATGGATAGAAAAACAAAGATATATTTCTGATTAATGAAAATATATAAATAATCATACAATAACAAAATGTTTAATAATTCTGTGAGAATTCTTCAGGTGTTCATTTTTACACATTTTACCGAACTAAGGTCCAAGTGAACTGACCCAAAAACCATGACCACAGATCCAAGATAGTTTTGTCAGACTTTACTTAAAAACACCGTTCCCCCCCCTTAGGCGCTTGGACTGAAACGAGATGACACGTTTTCCGTGACGATGCTTGGCCACTGCATCGACATGTACATTGGTGAAACAGATGCCTACGAAGGTACATTGCATTTGTTTTTGTTCAGAACATTTTTTCCCCTGTGAAACAATTGGAAATATGTGTAAAACTTTGCTGAGCCAAACTGACTTTTTTAAAGTAACATTTTAAAATCAAATTAAGTGTCTTTTAAAAAGTGAAATAAATCTCACGTGACATCGGTGAACTGTTTCCGTGGTGACCTATTACATGTGCATAGCATTGTCAACAGTCATAAAAGTGGAAATAGAAGTTAACTGCTCAGTACAGTTTATTAAGACTGCTTAACCTGCGCTCACCATTAACTTTTTTTTTTTTAATTCGAACATGTCATTCTTTTTTTAATGATATAATCTCTGTGTTTTGGCTGCAGAGGATAAGAAAAAAATCTACACACCCCTGTTCAAATGCATCCCCCGCTAAAAGTGTTGAACCACTGCCTTTTTAGTTCTGAAAATACCTCTGCATCTCCATAACTTCTATTTGCTGTTTTATGAAAGTCATCACAGTGTTCCTCTTTCCCATCATTGACAACTTTTTCCAAATGTGTGCCCGTGAAGGTACCGACATCGGCGACAAGGTGCGAGGAAGCGCCAACACGCAGACGCTGATGAAGGCGCTCAACGCGACGGAGCTCACGGAAACGTTGGCCTCGCCGCGGCTGGAGGACGTTAGCAGCACCATGATGGTGGAGACGCCGTTATCCCACCAGGACAAGATGGTCCTTGACGTGCCCCTGCGGCTGTCCCTGACGCTGGAATGCGACATGTACGAAAGCGACGTCATGTTGGACACCCTGTCTGACACCAGCATGTGATTTCGAAGCAACAAGGTTGTCATGGAGACGACACAACCAAGAGTGGAAGGCAACTTAGCATGTGCCTTTGTTTGGGGGTCTAAAATGAGATCTGGACTTAAATGCTAGGCCTCGGAAAGATGCTTGATTGTTTGGAGCTAACACAATCTTAACCTCAAAACTTCAAAGACTGTCGTCACTTTTTTTTAATGCTTTTCCTCTCAGCAGTACCTGCGGATTTTTCATCAAGACGTCAAAGCCGCAACCGTAGACAAAAGTGCAAGGAAGTACATTCAATAAATCATGAATTTGTCTTTAAAGATTTTAGCATGAGTGTGTATGCATGTGCGTGTCTGTTTGAAATAATTGGATGGAAGTGTATAAAGTTTGAACGGGAAATCAAACCACTGTTCATTCCATCATCTCATTTGCGTTACATTTCATTTTGACATGTGATATTCCCTTTAATTTTCATTCCAAATGTTTATTTTAGAGTTGCCTTTTTGTAAAAAAAAAGAACTTTGGCCTCTGCCCCTATTCTGTCGAGGCCGTGCCCCAATACCTCATCTACTTGTAGAATAAATAAATGCCATGTGAAAGCCACAGTAAGTAAATAGGTGACGACACCTGGTAATGTTTCTTCCTGAAACATTACCAAGAACTTTATATCCAGATGAGTTCCTGTTGTGTTTACCCACAAAAAAATGAGATTTCCAGAATGCCTGGACAGGATTTGACACGCAACACACTCTGCTCGTGTTCAGTTGTACTGAAAACAAGCAGCATTGATTCAAGGATTTTTAGACATCACCCAGTCGTCAAAATCCTGCCTCTGTTACATTCTATGCAAAGACAGAAAAAATGCTGGTTATTTTGTGATAGCACTGATGCAGCAATTTTTGCAGAAAAAAAATGACCCCCAGGTAAGGAAAAACACCAAGAAAAAGAAACATCAGTGGAAAAATGAGAAGCCTTGAGATCGATGGAGGAATCTCCAATCCAGGATGACCAGGCAGCAAAGCATGCCGAGTTGGGCCCTCTACAATGTGAGTTAGAATAATGTAACGGTCCATTTAATAAGACGCAATTCTGTAGGACGATGTGTTCGCAGAGTTGGGTCCTCCTCAAAGCCCAAACTGGTTGGTCAATAAAGTCTCAATAGCAGCGCCTTCAAGTAGGTGGTCCACCTCGGATCTTGTCCAGATGAGTCGGGCAGAATCTATACAGCGACATCCAATTGGGTCATCGTCACCAATCCCCGTCTCCAAGCCGAGGAAGTTGGGGGAAGGAGGAAGCGCTTTACAAATAGTTTTTAAGTCTGGTATTAAGCTTTTATATGAAGACACCGTATTTAATTTCCATGAGTAAAGTATTCCAGAGCACTGGAAATCAAACAGGAAATGCTCTAGAACGCGCAGACTACTTTTTGGCTCACTGGATCACTAAAGGGTAGCATTGAAGGCAAGTGGTTAGCATAGCTGCATTGGGTATGGGTGTTCAATTCTCAGCTCTGACCTTGATGTGTGGCGAGGGAATGTCCTCCCTGTGCTTGTGTGGGTTTTCTGAGACTACAGCGACTTCCTCCTACATTCCATAAGCATACATGTCAGGTTAATTTATTTCAATACGCGTTTTAGTAAGCATGTCAAATGCATTTTTATTTTTAATTAACAGGGAGAGCAGTGGTCAGACTGTTGAGTTTAGTTCCATCAGGATGAAAGCCCAAACGCGCAGCCTACAATGACCATACAGTAATACCTTCCCTATTTCCATTTGCGGGTTTACCAATACAGATTTATTTCTTTATTTGATGTCTAAATAGCTACTTTCTTTTCATGAATAAGTGGATCAGAGAATGAATGAGAAATCTATTTTTCTATTCATTAATTGTTGCTTATTTATTTACCTTTTTTAACTTTAACGGCAGCAACGACAATAACCAGTGACTATTATGATAACTTGGTCACGAAAGAGAACGTAGATTTTTTTATATTATGTTTTTATTTCCATTTGAATGCATTTGATGTTTTTTGCCTTGATGAAGAACACAAACAGGAAAGAAATTATGTAATTTCTTCTTCATGACGAATTGCTTACGAATGAAAAAGGAAAGAAATTATTTAATTTCATCTTCATGACGAATTGCTTACAAATGAAAAAGGCCAATTGGGCTCGCTCTCACCTCTCACGGTACGCTCGTGTCCTCTCGCGAGCGACCTGCGAGCGCAGACAGAGTCCTCTCAGCACAGGGAAATGGAGAGAGATGAAATCTGAAAAGGAGCAAATGACGGCATCGAAGGACAAAGGGGTCTTGAAGATCAAGTTGAGGGACAATTCGGGGGACCAGGACAATATTCCCAAGCAGAAAGAAGACAAAAAAGAGGTGTTTACGAAGGTAACGATGTCGTTTGGCCTGCAACCTCCAGTGTTGTTATTGTTTACGGTGTGTGGGAAAACATGGCGGACGGCCTTTCAGCACCACGGACAGAGACTCACAGAAACGTTTGTTTCTCCCAAACAATCTCATATAACGCAGTGTTTTACATTTTTAATTAGTGGGCTCACCTGCATCAAAATATTAACTCTGCTCTTCTACTCTGTTATATAATGTGATTTTAGGATCAAGTAATGTGCTCATTAAAACAACGTTTTAGAGACGTGATTCACATAAAAAAAATGCAAATTCTTCACACACACACACACACACACACACACACACACACACACACACACACAAAATTGGAGATATTTGGCTTTCAGGCGAAATTGATTGAAAATGTACACAGTTCACACAACAAAGTCGAAGGATGCACTAGTGATTTACTCATCTCAAACATTTCACAGAAACAAAGATTAATAGCAGCCGTTCCCTGATTATGCGACCTCAATGAGCTAGAGCATTGTTGTCCATAAAGATGAAATTAGGCCCGTGTTGTTCATGTAGTGGCACAATCACCGCATTCATAATGTTATTCAGCTAGTATGGCCTTGTCACTGTACCATTCACAAAGTGTGGGGCAGTTCTGAACCGACTGGACACAACTGCCTACACTGTAACACCGCCACCACCAAAAGCTCGTCTGGTGAGAACAGTGGCTGATGCAAAGCGCTCTCCTTGACATCTCCAATATCGTTGACAGCCAACATTTCTGCTCAACATGAATTGGCTTTCATCAGGGAACAGCACTGAGGCCCACTGGTCCCTCGTCCAGCGTAAATGCTCCCTGGTCCATGTAAGACGATGCCTGATGGTGTGGTCAGGTACCCTTGCAGGTCGTCTCACACGCAGACCACACTGATGTAAACGGTTTCGAATAGTCTGAGGTGACACTTGGGTGCCTCTCACCTCCCTTAAATGTACTTGGAGTTGAGTGGCGTTCATCATCCGGTTTCTCAGGGCATTGGTCACAACCACTTCTGCCTGAGAACATCCTGTTCGAAGCATTGATCCATTGTTAGGTGTCAAAATGTGAACGGCATGATGAGGACGACTGTTTACACAGCAGCACGAATTGAACCAGGACATTTCTTGGTCGATTCAAGGATCACACACCTGTTGTGAATTTCGCTCTTAAGCTCCTCATTAGAGAACAGCAACTTGTGCAAAAAGTACAGAAACATTTAACAGTTGGACATGTGCAAAAGCTTAGAGAAGGTCACATTAAGTTCACCTGTAAAGGTTTGAATGCATTTTAGGCTCATCCTGAAATGTCACCCAAAAACCAAATATCCCTAACTTTTTGTAAGTAGTGTATGCACATGTATATATATATATGTATGTGTGTGTATAAGGAATGGTCTTTTATTGGAGAGATGCACGCTCCAGTTATGTACACATGCACACGCATCGTTTTTTTGTGTTTGCATTATTATAATCATGAATTTCCCCTCTAAAAAATAAGTAACCGTTTTGTGTTTGATGGATAGGTGGTCATTCGAAGGCTCCCACCTCACCTGACCAAGGAGCAGTTAGAGGAACATCTGAGCCCGCTTCCTTCCTTTGACTACTTTGAGTTCTTCTCTGCTGATCCAAGGTATCAATATAAATCGTTTTTTTTTCCCCAAAAATATATATATGTATTATCATTATTTCCGTTCATGACCTCCTCCTTTGTGTCCGTAGTCTGTACCCACATTTGTTCTCCAGAGCCTACATCAACTTTAAAAACCAGGACGATATCCTATTGTTCAGAGATAGATTTGATGGCTATGTCTTCATTGACAACAAAGGTGACCGCTTTTTTCATTACAATAACGCTCTGAGTCTTCTTATTAATTAAAGCACAGGGCAAAACGGTGGAATGGATCAAAGTACAGTTTTTCAGTTCAGCCCTCGAATACAAATTCTGTATTTGCTCACACGATGATGGGCATAAAATGAGCTGCAGCCTATGCCAGCTGACTTTGGGCAAGAGTGCCGGTTGCTGCAGTACAATTTATCAGTTGCCCTTATTGAGGAGTAGGATTGAAAGAATTTTTCCATCCAGATGCTAACATAAATAACACGTTGATCCATGCATACATTGCTACTGGCTATCATGAAAAACAAGAGAAGCTTGCCAGCATCCTCTGTTATGTTTCTGTCAGGCATTTTGAAATGGTTTGCACGTTGGCCAGAAATGTTATCGGTTCTTTGCTTTTGTTATACCGTGGTTTACTTGTTTTGCACTTTTACAACAGTTACGAATATGAAAATGAACTGAAAGCAGTGACTCATGGTGGAATATGTCATAATTCAGAGAATTCCATCTATTGTTACATTGTATTTTTCCTGAGTTGTTGCATTTATTTATTCAAGTGGACTTGCGATTTATTGATCCATGGCATCTATTTGAGTGGAGGCCAGCCAGAGTTTGTGAGAAAATGATACTCAATACACTGACGAAAGTTCTGACTGAATCTTTGACACCCAAACAGGTCAGGAGTTCCCTGCTGTGGTAGAGTTTGCCCCCTTCCAGAAAGTCTCCAAAAAAAAGCTCAAAAAGAAAGATGCCAAAGCTGGAAGTATCGAGGAAGGTAACAGAAGAGTGAATTATCAATCAGAACTGTAACACCGTGATTTTAACCGTGATTTTTCACAGGACCCAACAAAGACAGCTGTGAGTGGTTTTACACAGCAACACAGGATCCCACAATCAAATATTAGGCCTCTGGCACTGTTACAGTTGTGATACTACTTCAAAATGCAAACAAAATTGCTTTGTTCGATTTCACATTCCCGTGCTGTGACATTTGCTTGAATGTCACATCCTCCCTCAGACCCGGAATATAAACGCTTCTTGGAGAACTACTCCTGTGATGAGGAGAAGTCGATGGCCAACCCTGAGACGCTCCTGGGGGAAATCGAGGCCAAAACCAAGGAGCTTATAGGTAAGCTTTTGAGTAACTATCATCATGTGGTCTCAGAGGTCGGTTCATACAAATGAGATTTCTTCATAAAGGTACCACTTGCAAGGATGTACAATCAGGGTAGGCAAGTGAGGCAATGCCGCCTCCTGCTGTCCCTTCCCCTGTATATAAAGAGTCAAAAATAATAAGACTGTGCTTTATACAAATTTTCTTTCATAAGATCCCAAAACTGACTTGTTTCCAATGTTACCATCACAATTTAGTGTCGGAAGTGGGAACGCTCAGTGATTTGTCTTCAAATGTTAGAATCACAATTTGCTATCAGATGTGGGATCCTGTTTGCTAGTTTTCTTCAATATAATTACCATCACAATTCAGTGTAAGAGACTGGGATCCCCAAAGGATTTAAATGATGACATTATGATTTGTTGTCAAAAGTTTTCTTCAAAATTCTTCATCACGATTCAGTGTCGGAAGTGTGTTCCCATTCGTGACTTGTATTCATGTACAATCAGGGTAGGCAAGTGAGGCAATGCCGCCCCCTGCTGTCCCTTCCCCTGTATGTGAGAGTCAAAAATAATAAGACTGTGCTTTATACTTAGTTTCTTTCGTAAGATCCCCAAACTGACTTGTTTCCAATGTTACCATCACAATTTAGTGTCGGGAGTGGGAACGCTCAGTGATTTGTCTTCCAATGTTACAATCACAATTTTCCATCAGATGTGGGATCCTGTTTGCTAGTTTTCTTCAATATAATTACCATCACAATTCAGTGTAAGAGACTGGGATCCCCAAAGGATTTAAATGATTACATTATGATTTGTTGTCAGAAATTTTCTTCCAAATTCTTCATCACGATTCAGTGTTGGAAGTGTTTTCCCATTCGTGACTTGTATTCTAATTTACTGTCACAGTTCAGTCTCATAAGATCGACTGCTGATTGATTTGTCCTCTAATGTTACCATCACGGGCGGCACGGTGTTGACTGGTTAGCCCCCCCCGTGCAGAGGTGCAGGGTTTGATTCTGGCTCCGGCCTTCCTATGTGGAGTTTGCATGTTCTCCCCGTGCCTGCATGGGTTTTCTTCGGGTACTCCGGTTTCCTCCCACATCCAAAAATCATGCATGGCAGGTTAATGGAACACACTAAATGGTCCCGAGGTGTGATTGTGAGTATGAATGGTTGTTCGTCTCTGTGTGTGCCCTGCGACTGGCTGGCAACCACTTCAGTCCCCTGCCTACTGCCAGGAGACAGCTGGGATAGGCTCCAGCATATCTGCCATCCTCGTGAGGATTAGAAAATGGATGTATGGATGTTACCAAAACAATTTGTTGTCAGAAGTGAGATCCAGATAGGAAGTTTGTTTTAAAAACCCACCATCATAATTTGGTGTCAGAAGTTAGATCCTGCTTGTGAGTTTTCTGTGATGTTTTTAAAAAATATATATTTTTCCAAAAACTTGCGATCACAAGTTAGTGTTAGAAATGGGAATCGTGCGATTGATTCGTCTAAACAAAGTTGCCATCACAATTTGGAATCAGAAGTGGGATCCGGCAAGTGATTTGCTTTCCACTGAGGATCACAACATATTAAATGTTTACCACTTTACCAATGTCAATCAAAACAGGGCATTGTTGTCTTTGTGAAGCAAGACGTTTTGGATCTTATTAGAGATGGCCTGATGAAGGTGTACATATCCTCATTGTCCAATTTCAGCCAAAAGGACAACACCTCTGTTGGAGTACATCAGAAACAAGAAAATGGAGAAACAGGTATGATGAGAGAGAAAAAACAAAACAAAAAAATGACATCTCCTAAATGGGAAAAACATGACAAAGTACTCGTGTCCTTACAGAGAATCCGAGAGGAGCGGCGACGGCGAGAGTTCGAGAAGAAGCGACAGCGCGAGGAGGAGAAACGGAAGCGACGTGAGGAGGAGAGGCGCAAACGGAAAGAAGCTGAGAAGCAGAAGAAACTTTCTGATAAAGACATCAAAATTAAGGTGATAATTTGCTGTGCACGCATCTCCTGACTTGAAGTGACCCGTCGCCTCATTCATGATGCTCCTTCATCAGCTGCTGAAGAAGAGCGACAGGGACGATGATGTGGAATCAGACCGCCTGAAGCACAAAAGTGACGCCAATGAATTGGAGAGGGGGAAATGGGAAAAATCAAGTGGACAGATGAAGTTCAAGGATTCCAAGGAAAAGTAAAGAGCGTCAATTTAAAAATGCCATCCATCCATTTTCCGTACCTCTTGTCCACATTCGGGTTGCTGGTGAGCTGGAAACTGTCCCATCTGGCTGAGAGGCAGTGAACACGCTGGGCTGGTCGCCAGCCAATTGCAGAGTGCAGACAAACATCCAGTCACACTCGCGTACATGCCTAATGAACCTAACATACATCCTTTTGCAATGTGGGAGGAAGCAATTGGTGGTGGCCATTGGGAAATTCGGGAAAACTCCCAAACGGCAAGTCCATTCCAGACTAAAATTGGCCAGCCTTTTCTGAACTTGTGAAGTTTTACCAATTCTTTATTTGACTTTATTCGCAGGAGATCAGAATAGCCTCTATCATTGCGTAATACATAATTTGTAACGCAATGTACTAGTGGTCTCGCCATGCGGCCTTTGGTTGTGTGCACTGAGGGCCTCTCCATCACAAATCCCCAGGCTAAATTTCGGGACCAGTATGTCCCAAACATTAGGACATCCCACACAAGCATGGCGAGAACATGCAGACTACACACAGGCAGGATACGAACACCTCAGAATTGTGAGGCAGGTGGGCTAACCAACCACACATTCACGATGCTGCTGCTGCTGCAAGAAATTATCTGTTCATTATTTATAAACCGCTAAATCGCTGTTTAACAGTGGAACCTCAGCATTCAAACATCTTAAAGCTGCCTCATGCGAGCCTTCAGTAAAGCTTGCTTGAGCCTTCAGGTCAGTGAGCATCAAAGCAATTACACTGAACTCTGGCAATTCATGGGGATACAAGAGGCCTGGCCAAGTTTGCGAAAACCCACTACTATAACCAACTACAAATGCCACATGATGGTGGCAACGTAATACTTTTGTCTAAATGAAGCGGCTCAATTTATTTTAGCATAGTTCCTTGGCAACAAGATTGTGGCAAAGTCATATTTTTGCCCAATTGTTTTGCACAAAAACAAGGAATAAGTGAGTTTTTCTGCATTTAACTGAGGGTAGCCAAAAAATAAAAATAAAGGTGAATTGGTGAACACCGAACTGTGACTATACAGCTTTGTATTTTAACTCCCCATTTGTATGGCTTTGTTTTGTGTGTGCGACCCCACCAGTAATTGCAAAGAGGAGAAATACTAGTGAGCTATAGAAAATGAAATCAGACTTTATTGCTCCCACAGCAGAGAGATTCATTGATTACAGCAGCAAAAGACATGAGTCCCAGAAATTTAAAAGGCATTGGATGTAATAAAAAAAAAATCTAATGAATCCGATGAGAGAAAAAGTTTTTTAGAAAGTGTTAGAAAGCATAACTACGTTAAAATGGCAACATTGCATTACATAACATATATTGCAACTTGTGTTTTATTACACAGAAGTGCCATTGAAAGTGTTTGTCCTTGTTTTTGCTTGCGTGTGTGTGTTATTGGGCTATTGAATGAAAATAGAGTCTGAGTACTGTGGGCAAGAATGACTTGCAGTAGCACTCATTTCTTCTCTGAGAAAAAGTTCTGGCATTAAAGGAGCAGCTGAAGAACTCTGTAGAGAAATGTAGGAGGTGGAATGTGTTGCCATGATGGATGTCAGCTTGGCCACCTTCCATCTGTCCACCACCTTCTCGGCGGAGTCCTGTTGGCATCCTAGAACAAAGCCACTTTTCATAACCACTCAGTTAAGTCACTCCATATTTGTCTGCAATGTTTCTTTCCCCGCACAGGGTGGCGTAAAACATGGAAGAGCCCACCACAGTGACATAAAACGTCCTGAGCTGTCGCAGGACTTTTACGCAAGTGGAGAACGATCTGGTCCAGCTCATACAGTACATTTGTGATGCCTCAGTCTCAAAAGAAATTTGCATGAAAAGATACTCGGCGATACATGAAAAACGTGGTGAGAGGCTTTTATGCAAAATGTCAGTAACGTCTAGTGAATTAAGCACTTGGAGACAGAGTCGTGAGCAAGGCTAATAATCCGACAGGCAGTGGTTGGTGTGGCCTGGTTTATAAAGCAGGCAGGTAAGAATGCCAAATTCGAGACAGGTGTGACTCGTGAGGGAACGCCCACTCGTCAGCTGGAGACTGAAACAAAAAGCAAACAAGACAGGATCATGACAAAACTATGTCTTATGTTTATAAAGCTAAGTAAATATAATTCCAACACCAGCGATATGTACCTCGTGGTCAGCTGGTGACCAGGCCTGAACGTACCCGCACTTACATCCAAAGTCAGCTGCTATAGGCTCCAGCTCACCCTACGAGCCCAATGCGGAAAAGTGGTTTCAAAAATGCATGATACAATAATGTACAATATCCGCAGTCTCTTCACTAGAGGTCAGCCTGAGAGTGACAAGGAGCAGCAGCAGTGCCGCAGACAGCGAGACAAGGAGCATCGCGGGAAAGACGATGACAGGAAGCGTCAGAGGCACCACTACGACTTTGACAAGTTCGCACGGCGCAAAGACGAGACCAAGTGGGGCAAGGGCTATTGCCAGGACCGTGCCAAGAAGGAGCCCCACCACCACACCTACACGTTCTGCCCTGACAGCGGCGACAAGCAGATGAAGGAGGACAGGGACGAGCTGGCAAACAGAAAGGAGCGCCTCCGAAACAAGGTGAGCGAGAAGGTGAGCATGCGAGGGGTTCATCAGATTTTTTTTTTTTTCTGTTCCAGCCGAACCTCGTTACAGCGTACCTCGAGGCACATAACGAATTTGTATGTTATAACGGTAGTTCATTGTAACCATTTCCAATAAAATGGCCGCCAACTATGATGTGCAATACAGTTTGAACATTTATAGATTTAAAACTATGAACATGAAATACAGTTTAAACATGTCAATTACAAATACGAGTATACAGTATGAAGAAAAAACGATTTTATTAGACGTGAAACAATCAAGTCTCGAGTTCCTGCTTCATCTCTGAAAACGTTCAGTCAGCAAATGAAAAGTACCTTCTCCAGTTCAGGATGTGCCATGCCCCGAAGCCGTTTATGATCATCTTTCAATCTCTTGGCCTCAAACTCTACCATGATTTTGTTGCCATTATGCATGATTGTAGAAATTGTTGACTTTACCAATTCGTAGTCTCGGCTGAGCTTGGTCTGCGAGACTCCCTTTCGAAAGTGAGAGACAATTTCAGCCTTCACAGACAGCGAGATTTGTTTCCTTTTATACCAGACATGTATTCAGACCATTTGCACTGTGCCAACTAAAGTTAGCCAGATATTTGCAACACCAACCTGAAAGGCTAGTTTGTTAGTAAAGCAAAATGAACCAAGCCACTCGGTGGAAACTGAGCTTTCATTGGTTGTTTGGTTGGTTCTTTCATATGCCACATTTTTCTTTTAAATAGCTACAGAGCCACTAAGGGAAAGCATACATTACACTGGTCTGCATACCCCACATCCGTCGCCCAAAAATGCATAAACAAGAACATATGGGGCAAAATGAATGGCACTACTGTCTTCAGTGCAAAAAAAAAAAAAAAAGACCTCGAAAATATGTATCATTCTTGTTTATTTATTTATTTTTTACACAAACCAGTGTTATGTAACCACTTGATAGCAATGGGGCTACTCTTTGTTTGCTAGTTAGTAGTACTGTAGTGCAGATGCGAATAATGGTTTGGATTAAGTAATTGATTTCATCTTTTCACGGCGCCATTCTGCTTAAAATGTAGCCAGCTGCATTTACTTTGCCATCACTTACAGGACTAGAGTGGAATCGGATTGATTCTTCAAATGATAGAGGTGGGCCTGAGATACATGATTAGGAGTGTTTGGCCTTCATGGAGGTCTGCAAAGTCTTTGCGTATGAAGTAGCCGCACTCATGCATGTTTTGATATCGTATGACCCTCATGTTTGTTCCCACCCACCTCTGCAGGACCGCCCGGCCATGCAGCTGTACCAGCCCGGTGTGCGAAATCGTAAGGGCGTCAACTCGGCCGGCAAAGGCTACGACTGCATTCCAGTGGGCCACTCTCCCGAGGGCGAGGCGGTGGGCTGCTTCGAGGTGGCTGCCATGGCGGCGGTGCAGGACAAAGCCTACAACAACAGCAATGATGAGCACGGGCACTTGTAAGACAATGTTCATGACTCACAAAGGAGGGTTTGGAACCAATCAACATCATATTTATTTTGTGACAGTGTACATTACATTAAATTACTTGTGATACATTCCACTATGATAAAATTATATAAATGAACGGCACAACAACACATTTTCATTGTGGAATGGAAATAATGGAACTATATGGTTAACTGTATCCCATAAAATTTGGAAAATAATGCACTTGTTAAATCATTTCCACAAGGCTGTGTTTTTAATGAGAGATATAGGCCGGTTGTGCTGTAACCATGATACTGATAAAAGCAGAAAACGTGTGGTTGTTGAAACACCTACACCGCCCACAGCTGTGCCGCCCAGGGGTGTGGGTATTCTTGTTTTATCCTTACTGACTTTGTGGCGACATGTTGACTTTCATTCTGTTAAGATGCTTGTGTCATCCTGAGCAAAGCATTATTACAATCATCGTTCATTGGACAATTCTGAGAAACTTCCCAGAAAAAGAAATAGTATTTATTTTGAGCCAGATACAGGTAACTAATGAAATCATAAAAATGTGCTTTTAGGCAATCTTGTCAATGTAATAACAAGCTGTTGTACCCCCCCCCCTCCCCCCTTATTTATTCGTACTTTGCACAATCGAAAATAAATGTCTTGTGAGAGGCAAATTGAGTTTAAGCATGATTTGAAAACTGCAGCCTCTTTTCCACGAGAATTGATTTGGTTATCTTTTTTATGTATCTCTATCACTTTCCATCTACAGAATCTATGTCTGTCTATCAGGTGTATTGGAAGAGGGAAACTTGTAAAACAAACAGGGCTGCAGCTCTCGGACCAGAGTTGCCTACCCACCAGTGGCGGTTCTAGATCAGTTTCACTGAGGGGGCCGGGCTGGGGCCGGGGGTTTTGATGGAGGGGCACATTCAACCCAGGGCTAAAAAGACAGATTCGAAATATTATTTGACTTTTTATTTCATCAAGCTTTGAAAGCATTGTAGTCATAACATTCCAGTGATGAGAAAAAAAACAGTATCAGGAGGGCTAAAATATCTGCAAGCGTAACAATACGCCGAGTCCATCTGTTGAGAATATTCAAGCCAGGGGTGGATATGGTACCAGCCTGCCTTGAAGATCCTTCTCCTGTCCCCCATCAGGGTCCTGGGAAACTGTTTTAGCTCTGGCTGCATTGGCGGGTCCTCTTTACATCTACTGATGTCTGTGGACAAAGACAAACCAAATAAATGTAAACACAAGTTCTGCATGGACACAGCATATACACTAACCCGGTACACTTAGATTGCTGAGGCACTCAGACATATACAAGTGTCTAAAATGTATTGATTGATGCTATTTATTAATTGTATTAATTAGTTTTTATTGTATTCAATAAATATAAATTAATACATTCTCAAGCCTGACCAGAGACTAAAATTGCAAATACACTGAAGCTAAATGTTTTACATGCATATAATTATCCAAATTTTAGAAGGCAATGTCTTATATATTGTTCCTGTTAAATAAAAATTAAAATTAAAATGGGATACTAAAAAAGTTACACACGCACACGCACCCACACACAGAACAGGATAGTGTTATTTTCAGCATCACATACCTGATGGTCCAGTGCTTGTGGAAGCGCAAATATCCTCTGTCTGTGTCTCACACTCCACTTCTATTGCAGTCTCATCTTCCTAATTCTCAGGATCTTCATTTGTATCCCTTTCCTGCTCTGAGTCCTCGCTCTGAAAATAAAGCCCGTGTCCTCTGTCTCTCCCTCTCTGGTGCTTTCAACTTGCTCCTCTTCAAATCTCTCACCACTATCATCATCTGACTCTCTCTCTGTGTCTGGATAAATGTGTTTCTTTTTCATATAGAAATATGATGTAATGTCAGTTTTTCTTTTCATTTTTAACGTTAAATGTTTAAGTGAAGAGGAATTAGACTTAAAAATGCTACTGTTGGGGGCTTGTTTCGTTTTGTGATTTTACATTGAAAATATAAATCGTGTCGAAAATAGCACTCGTGTCGTGGTAATCTGCTCTAGGGGCACTGGCCCCCGTTGCCAATTTTGAGTGTTCTAACAGCCTGCCACGCATGTTTTTGGAATGTGGGAGGAAACCGGAGATAACCCACACAGGCACAGGGAGAACATGCAAACTCCACACAGGAAGGCTGGAGCTGGAATCGAACCCAGTACCTCTGCACTGTGAGGTCGACGCGCTAACCACTGGGCCGCCCATATAATATATGTACATCAATTATCAGTTATATTTCATTGTTAAAGTTATCCCTTAAAATGACAGTAAGTGGAAAAAAAATAAAAATGCACAGTAATACAGGTAAATCGTCTTTGGATATACAGGTACAGTATTACAACTGAGGGTTCATGAGGAAAAGACATTCAACAGTTTGAACAATTTATTGCTTTCATAGGGATTTCAATTCCAATAGGAAAGGCTCAAATCTGGGAAATCTGGAAAATTATAAGTGAAGAAATAATTGGCATAAAGAATGAGAAAAAGGCATTAGCTTTGATCATTAAGTTGTCATCACTTGGGTTCAGATAATAGCAAACATTTTTCAGATTAAGTGTATAGGGAGTTTTAGTAGCTTTAAAACCCATTTAATCAGACCAGTGTCTGAGTGGTCATACAGTCAAAGAATAAATGAGATATTGTTTCAATGTCATTTCCCGAGAAAGAGCAAAAACTATCTGCATCTACAAATTCGGATATTAATAAATCATTTTCCATCCATTCTCTGAAACGCGTACATAATATAAGAAAACGGGCAATACAAAGTACGTATACTGTAACTCAATAAACGTATCAAGCGTCTCTTATTTTTTTTCAACGTAGCAATCGTCTCATTGGCCAATCCGCCAAGCGTGCTACGTCATCACGTAATGTTACGTCTTTCACTGTCAAGTTCCGGTCTCCCAGAGGTAGGAGAAATGTTTAAAAAAATGTGATTTTGAAGTGTGGAAAGGGGAATTAAAATTTCTAATTTTAACGTGCCGTCTCCATGCTCCTTCAATACAACTCTACGTTTTGTCATTAGGTGAGCATGATATTTTTTGTATGCATGTCAGGAGTCAACAAAATAAACCAGAAAGCGAATTTTGACGTCTTAAAGTTTGCTGCAAATTGCACCTTTTTGGAAGGAGCGAAACTGGTTACTCGCATTTAGCGACATAAAATACGCATCAAGCAGCTTCTTTGATAAATCTTATGCTTAATTAAGAACAACGCTGTTTAGGCACAACTTGTATAACACGTCAAATTGTGTAATTCACTATAATTGTTTTGTTATATAATGTCGTAATTGCGGTTGAAAACCAGCATGAGTCTTAAATAAGTATTTACCATGTTTTAAACACGGAAACCGAAAATGTAGTGCACATATACACGTCATATACGTTTGCCTATACTATATATACACACCAAATGTCAACCAAAACTGTGCTTTTAAATCTTTATGAAGACAGGATTTGCATGAGTGAAAAGGTCTTAAATTGGTAAATGAAAAATATACTGTGCATATTGTTTCACACACAGGTTTGGTTTATTAGTACAACTATAGTTCTTTGACATGTCTTGTTCATTGTGTCCTTGTACTGTAAAGGCAGCTGTAAGTGGACCACGAACCATGGTACTGAACCCCGTCATCTCCAAACTGGCTGGAAAACTGGTTGTGTTGGCCAGCGCATCCCCGCGGCGACTGGAGATCCTTCGCAATGCTGTAAGCGTCTGGATGAACATTGTGACAATGTGCATTGTCTCTTCTCATGTCCTATCTTCTGCCTCATGTTAGGGACTGCGCTTTGAGGTGGTCCCATCCTGGTTCAAAGAAACTCTTGACAAGCGACTTTTCAAGGCACCCCAGCAGTACGCTGTGGAGACGGCCAAGCAGAAAGCACTGGAGGTGGCAAGACGAATGCCCTGTGTGAGTTCAATCATAATTAGGTGGTTCCGTAGTACATTTCCTCATATACATGTCTTTTTATCAACTACAAATTTTGCGGACGGCCTTTCTTTTTACAAATGCATATTTTTTAATACTGTGGAACTTGTTGGACAACAACATTAACGGGATCTTCCCCACACCCCCCACTGTGTTGTGTTTTAGAATCACCTTAAAACTCCAGACATCGTGATCGGAGCGGACACTATTGTGGCAAGTGTGTTTTTTCAGTCAGTGCTATTTTACTTGTTCCCAGAGGAGGTTGGTGCTTGATGCTCATTATTTTCCTCACCCAACATCTCATCAACCTTTATTCTTTGTGTATAAAGGTATATTGTATTTTTTATTTAAAATATATTTCCACAGACTGTCGATGGCATGATTTTGGAGAAGCCCCGTGACAAACAGGATGCATACAGGATGCTCTCACGGTAAAGTTTATTGTCTATTTTGAAAAGGTAGGATAGATGAATATATCGGGAATAATTCTCTCCTGTTTTAGTTTGAGTGGTAAAGAGCACAGTGTCTTCACAGGCGTCGCCATCGTGCTCTGTTATGAGAATCCAAGTAAGTGGCTTTCAGTGATGCAGCAGGGCACATGATTTTCTTACACATAACCCATTTAAACGCCATCCATCCATCCATTTTCCGATCTGCTTTATCCTCACAAGGGTCGCAAGGGGTGCTGGAGCCTATCCCAGCTGTCTTCGGGCAGTAGGCGGGGGACACCCTGAACCGGTTGGTTGCCAATCGCAGGGCACACAGGGACGAACCTCAGGACAATTTAGAATGTTCAATCAGCCTGCTATGCATGTTTTTGGGATGTGGGAGGAAACCGGAGTACCCAGAAAAAACCCACGCAGGCACGGGGAGAACATGCAAACTCCACTCAGGAAGGCCGGAGCCGGGGATCGAACCCAAGATCTCCATTTAAACTCTAAGAATAATAATGACAAAAATTCCCTGCCACCTTTTGTTAATCTGTAACCTGGTATACACTTGTGGGGAAGCAGGCTGGCCCCGTAGAACTATTTTAATTTAAGTTTTTAGTTTCCTTGTTCATTTAATTACTTTGACCACAGCAAAATGAAAATCCAAACAATGCTTACAGCCAGCATGCATACATTGTGCATGGATCCATAAAGTTAATTCCGAAAC